AAATGCATCCGTAAAACTGTTTCTTTCTTCTGTTGAACACAAAAGATGATATTTTGAAGAATGTTGGTAAACAAACAGTTGGCGGTAGCCATTGACTTCCATAGTATTTTTTCATACTATGGAAGTCAATGGCTACTGTCAACTTCTAAGGGGAGAAGTTATTAGACTGTGATGCTTATAACATGTTTGGCTAATGTTCTTTCAAGTTTGAAAAGGTTATTTAGTAATAAACAATTGTTCTTCAAGTAACCTTAATAGAACGTTTGTGCAAAGTTGTCAGGTCTTTAATGTTCTCAAAACATTTAAACATCATTCATTTAGCGCTTTTTCTGAAATAGTTTATTTAGGAGTTTGTCTAATGTTTAAACGTTCCCAGATAGCACACATACGTCTGCAAGATATCTGTTAAAGATCACTTCTTCTGAAATGCATCCGTTGTGTACAAACATCTGATAGACGTCTTTAAGATGTCAGTTTTACATACATTCTAAATCATAAACATCGTACAGACATCTTCTAAACGTCTATTTGACATCTGATAGGAAACGTCCAATAGATGTATTGCAGATGAGCAAACATTCTAAAAAATACGCCTTGCAGATGTAAATGCAGACATTTATCAGATGTTTGTACACAGCAGATGCTTTCCAAATGAAGAGATCTTGCAGACGTATGTGTGCTATCTAGGCTACTACTTGTTTTAGAACATTCAGAAAACACTTAAAAGTAACATTTCCATAAAGTTAGAAAAATGATCAAATGGAACTGTCCCTTAATGTTTTCTCTAAAATTCAAAATAACCAAGAAAACCAATTAAAGACAACATTTAGAAATAACATTTTCAAACCTTAATGGGAACGTTAGCAAAACATTCTTAGAACAAATTTTTGTTAGCAACAGTATACTTCCATACCAATAATAATAATAATAACTTTAGGGCATAGAAAGCGTTTAAATCCGAAAAGGATTGCTGACTGAAACTAAAGAAAGGCCATAACATCACATAACTTGAGATATTTTTTAACTATGTCCAAACAGAAACATTATGAGCTTTTACAATGCTGAAAGTGGTCTCACCTTTTCCCACTCCCATGTTTGGCAGTTTAAAGTCTAGCCTACTGTTAAACTTCCTCGGTGACATCGATTACTGTTCAAAATCATAACAGATTCATTTATGGAGTGGACCTTAATTTCAACTCTTCCTGTAATTAAAAGTGCGCAAGACACTGTCATGTTTGAGGTCACTAAACAAACTCTCTTTTGAGGTAAAGCACTCTTTGTCACTTTGATTCATTGTTTCACCGCAGCAGCTGTGCAGGGAGGACTGGGAGGTTTGTCTTCCCAATTGTTTCTCGGCAAACCCCTTTGTGAACTTGCACAATGCTGCCACAGAATCGTACCACCCAATGACCACAAAAAATTAGACTTTTGATTAAATATTTAAATTTCAGGCCGTAATAACGCATAGCTGATTGAATGGCTCTTTTGTAGTGTCCCTGTTTACTCACAGCATTGCTAGCGTCAATACTGACTTACAAACAACTCCACACACAAGCTTTTTTACTGTATCTTGCTATAGTTTGAATTTCATAACTTGCGGTAACCTTTCGAAAACATCACTATAAAGTTCTCTATAAAGTTGTCTACTGCGCATGCGCACTGACAGCGGGATAAGATTTGTCCCAACGGAGGCACCTGTTTGATCCAATAGATACTTCAAGTGTTAAACTACATGATATAATAGTGAACTATCACTCACCTAAACCACAAGCGGTGCACTCGAACAGCTCGTGACCCGTACACTCCGTGCAAGTGGGATGACAGAAAACGCACTGATTTTTTAATAAGAACTGTCCGCTGGGACACGACACCACCGGCGATCTGGCTTGAATAAAACCGACACAGCATAATGATAAAATAAAGATCAAATAAAATAAAGAGTTCATCGTTGGCGATGTTGTGCAGCGCATCTATTCGCCATGCACACACACTCGCACACAGTTCGTTCAGTCCTGCGCTGCCAATGACAACGAGCATCTAAATCACAAAACTTGCCCAACAAGTTGCTTTCAAGGGGATTGGTCAACAGGCCTTCGGGGGCCACCCATTCCTCTGCCCCATTCCGCATTTGACACAAAGGACATGGGTAATGTTATGAACAATTCTGAGTGATCTTGTGCTCATATAGGCCTACGTATTCAATCTCGTAACATTTTGTTCAAGCATATAGGCCTTACTATAATTTATCAAAGAATAGCAGTAATCAATGCTAATTATTTCATAATGCGTGCACCTATATATAGCTACAGTGGTAAAATATAATTACTATATTATTACGTTGTTATTGTTGTTAATAATAACAATTAACAAAAACTATTAATAACAATTGGTATATTAAATTAAAGGTGGTAAAAGCTAAGCTGTAAAAATACTGTAATTTATCAGAAAATATTTAGCAGTAATCAATGCAAATTATTTCACAGCTTCATAAACGGAAGAGCGGTAAAATGGAAGAAGAAAAAGAAAAATAAGAAATTAAATTAAAGGTGTTGTAGCCCATTGTAAAACCTGTTCATTTGGTTGACTTGTTACGTTACAATATGGTAAAAAAAACTTTCAACTACAAAAATATAACTGTATCTGTGAATATGTAATCACTGATAATAATTGACAGTATTCAATGCAAAGTAGCCTATTTCATAATTTATCATATAAAATCCTAATAATAATAATAATAATTAATAATAATACATTCAAAAAGATGGAAGCCCATGTATGTATACACACACACACACACACATATATATAGATAGATACACTCTTAAAAATAAAGGTGCTTCAAAAGGTTCTTCAAGCGACGCCATAGAAGAACCATTTTTGGGTCCACAAAGAACCGTTCGGTCAAAGGTTCTTTAAAGAACCATCTCTTTCTTACCTTTTTATAATCTGAAGAACCTTTTTTCCACACAAAGAACCGTTTGTGAAACAGAAAGGTTCTTCAGATTATAAAAAGGTAAGAAAGAGATGGTTCTTTAAAGAACCATCTCTTTCTTACCTTTTTATAATCTGAAGAACCTTTTTTCCACACAAAGAACCGTTTGTGAAACAGAAAGGTTCTTCAGATGTTAAAGGTTCTTTATGGAACCATTTAGACAAAAAGGTTCTGCTATGGCATCGTGAAGCACCTTTATTTTTAAGAGTGTATACATACATACATATATATATATATATATATAGTCTAATAGTTGCCAGAATTAAAGGAAGCAATACATCTCTGAGTCTCTCTGTTGCACATCTTATAAAAAAGCTTCTTACATTTTTTCTTCTTTGAATTTTTTTGAGATTTGCACATTCTTTTTGGCAAATTTGCTCCGACTCCATGTTAGATGTGAGCAGGATTTTTAGGCCATTCCAAAAACAGGATTAAGGACATGTCATGCACATTAACCTTCTGGTTCAAAGCCACTTCAGGACGGTTGTTTACTTGCTATTTTTGGTCACTTTCCTGTTGAAGGAAGTCTTGCAAGTTCCAGAACGCATGCTTGGGTTTTAGCACAAAGTCTGATTTAAGTATAGAATCTCCCTTTATAGCCTCTCACACTGCTGATTTCTTTTGACAAACTACATGAGATGTGATATGAGTTTTTTTTTTTTTTTTTCAAATTAGACTTCATACATTAACTTCATACATTCCAGATTTAGGAAATGTATATGCTGAATGCTCTTGTTGTCTCATGTGTTTCTCTCTTTTCTGTCCCAGACAACTTCAACTCCTGTGAATCTGTCTTGGCCTAATCAATAAACAGATTGTGTGAGCTAAGCGGCCTAAAACAATATTCTCATTGTATCATATTGATATCTTGCCATATTTTGATATATTTGTACAATATTTTAGTATAAAGGATTTAAAAGAAATGGAACGAAAGTAAAATAAAAATGACAATGTCGAAAAAGAAAACTATGTTTTGGAAAACTATGTTCTGTAACGAGCTCTGTTCAAACCTATGAAGACAGATGAGCAGCAGAGGGCGGTAGAGTGTGTGCTATTGCTGATATATCAGTTCTCAACATGCTCTCCATTTTTTTAGCAGAAAAAAAATTCTGTTCTTCGGCAAAATACCAAAGGTTTTAGTTAAATTCAGTGTCGTGGCATTATGGTAACTGCCCATATTGTTTATTTGTTTGTTTTTAGATGACTTACTATATTTTGAATGTATAATAATAATAATAATATAAAAGTAATAAATATAATATTAAAATATAATAATAATAATAAAACAGCTATCCAACAGGTACTTTGTTGAACATTTTTAATCAGAATATGATGACACAACTGACTAATTGTAAATGATTAACCAATCAATGCTAATCTGTTGATTGACATTTAATAAAAAAGTCATCCATTAAAATACAATTCTTATTGAGGAAATCAGATCTGAGTAATAAATTATTCAAATAAATGTCAAATGTCAATATTAGTTATTAAAAACAACAATATTTAGAAATAATACTTTTATTTCATTTTTTCTATTCTGCTTTTCTATTTTTTAATAAAAGAACAGTTGAACGATTGTTTCAATTGCGTACTAGCTTTGTAAAATTGGATATTGTTATGTTCATTGAATATAAATAGGTAATGAAAAATATAAAAAAATAAAAAGGTGCAAGAGTAGGCTATTCTAAAGCAAAAACAACTGTGGGGAAACAGTTTACCGATATTATTGAGGCTATATAATGTAATAAATATTAATAAATAACAGTATGTTCTGATAGCCTTTTGTTTTCATAGAAAACAATTTCGTCTTATAGTCATGTATATAAAAAAGTGTGACACCACAGACTGTGATAGCAATCCTAACAGGCAGCTGTTTTCCAAAAGTGGGCGGAGTCTGTAGCTCATTTATAACGCCATTCAATAGGCGTGAGTGGACTGTGGGCGGAGTCTGTTGCTCCTCTACGTCATTCAAGAGGGGGTAATGAGGTGGGCGTGTCTTCGTTGCCACTGCTGCATCAGTGAATGACATGAGGATGTGAAAGAATACAACGGGCTGGGCATATGATTTTAAAGCCATTCTCGAACGGACTGCTATATGGACGATGAGGAATACACTGAGGACTGACTGAGGAACGGTAAGACGCGTCTTAAATAATAGGCTGCTGGCATAAGGAGCATCCGTGTGCAATAAGAGGCTGTAGGAATCGCTGCGCACCCGGGGCAGGTGCACCTGTCTTCTGTACGTGCCCGGACCGCTATTAGACGCATCTTGCGGGTATACAGTGTTTTTATTTATTTATTTTTCCAATCAAGGCCAGTTTGAACAAAGGAACTTGGGTGGGATAATAAATGGCCGATTATTCTGGTGGCTTTGTGGTAAGGGCATCTTTTCGGCGCATCATCATCAAATGCATTGCGATATGATTGGGGATTGAATTTTCTTTGTCTGTAGACACATTATATGGGCATGGCTGTATATTAGTATGGGCTGGGACTGTTGCGTAACAGACTGAACAGAAAAATACGTTTATGGATTACAAAATAATGATCAAATATGTCATATCTGATGTGAGAGAAGGATGAAAGTGGATGCTTTCTTGTTCATTGCCTCTATATGCACAAGTCCCAAGCAGAAATCAGCATGCCTTGGTTTATGTGTGTCAGAAATGCTCTTTGGTTATTCAATCTAAACATGCTTTTAATATGTAGCCTACTTTATAGATGCTGTGGGCGGAAGGTATACTGTAAACAGTCTACTAGCTACCCACCAATGGTGCGTTTAGGCCCCGAGCCCGGCTGTTGGGCTCAGTATTGTTTTCTTTTATTGAGCTTAAAGGTGCACTCAGTCATTTTTTGCTCAAGTGAAGTTTTAGACATTAAGAAATGCACGGCAGTTTTGGAAATATGAGTAAAATTATGAGCTGGATACTCTAGATTCATGGTTCTCAACCAGGCGGATGTAACTTCAAGATGACTTATAATGTTTTAAGATAAAATAAGGTACATAACGGATAATGTACTGTTAGTTAGTTGCAGGTCACAAAGTGGCTATTTACCAAATAAATATTCTTGAAAAAAAACACAAATTAAGTTTTAAGTATTTTTTTTATCTATATCCACAAATTTAATTCCTGAATTGTACTCCTTGAATTGAAACAGATCAGCTTTGTTTTCATTCCGGAGGTAGGAAATATAGGCTGTGTATATTGTTGAATTGTTCAAAATATTGTTTAATCGTACAAAGATGAGAAACACTGCTCTATTCAGATCCATTTCCAAGAAAAACTCTTGTTTTTATCTACACAGTGCGGATCGATCACATGACCAGGGTTACTACTACTACTTCTAATACTAATAACAATACACTTTTTTGTTGTCTACCACTTTAAAGGCCAGATTTATGGGATATTGTGGCTTGGTTGTGTTTGTAGTAGGCCAGAAGGGTATGTTTGTAAAATCGGATACCGACCGTATCTTTGATTTTTGATATATGACTCCTGACTGAACTTGTATACCAAAGCTTACTTTGTGCTTGTGGTTTCTTAAGAATGTCAGTCAGTCAGTCAGTCAGGAAGTTTCAGTTCAGGCTATCATGCTCTTGTCTTGTATATATATATCTTGTGTGTGTATATATATATTAATTGTAATATATATTATATTTATATATATATATATATATATATATATATATTCATTTTCAAAACTCTTAGTACTAATATGACAACAGATCATCAAAAGTGCACTTTTTCAAACATTTACGTTTACAATACACACAATCACAAAGTATCATTTTCACTACATAAAATAAGTGTTTCATCTATATAAATGTTTCATTCACAGTAACAGCCTTTCATAAAGCTCTTACTATCAAACCTTTAATTTGCTTGTTTTCTCATTCAATTTACAGTTTGTTTGTTTTTTATTCATTAATTGCGTTTGATTAATTGCATTCCTTTTTTATTATTATATTATTATTTATATTTTATTGGTGAATTATTTATATTTTAATATATTATTATTTTTAATATGTTATTTATTTTTAATTAAAATATTTCTATAATATTTTTTAAAACCACCTAAATTATTCAGCAATATTAATTTTTGATACTGTATTACAACTATGCTCATGCAAACTTATAATATTGGTCTACATTTGACAGCCGTAAATCTTACTATAGGGACTTAAGGTTAAACTCAAAGCATGAGGAAATAGCAAATAGACAGAGAGATATTTTATTGATCCCTGAGGAGAAATTTACGGAAAGGCCAAACAGGTCCCTCCGAAACGCGAGAAATGCGACACATTACCTCACAAGCATAAGAACAGCATTCCACATTCACAGCAGACAAGCCACACTCTTTCAGGCAGAAGTCCTCTCTTTTGGTCATTTCATCTTATTTAATGTTTCGCCCAAGTAGGTGGCACACAAGAACACATATGACCTTGACCTGATTGTTTCAGATGCTGTCATATAACCCCGGGCCGGTGAAGCCACTGAAGGCCTGTGTGTGGCAGGGCATCAGGGGACAACATTTGGCAACCGATCAGTTGCTACATAGAATTCTGTCCATGTTGTAAGCACTTTATGAGCAGAGCTGAGGTTACTGAGATCAGTCTGGAGATCAGCTCCACAATCTGACATAAAATTAATTACATTTTTAAAAGAGATCACAGACTTTGATACATTTTTGTATGGCTTTTGAGGTTTCAAGGCTGGTGGGTCACAACTAGTGGGACGTGGACAGAGGTGAAATTTTTACTGAACAGTTCTTGAAAGAACAATGAATCTTTCAATGATCCGTTCTTAAAATAACTGCTTTTCCTTAGTGTGAAGAACTCGTAGTACAATGGAAAATTTCCATGGATGTTAAAGGCTCTTCATGGGACCATCAATGCCAATATTAAAGACACTTTTTTTATAGGTATAAAAACTGATTACAATTTGGTTGATGACAATTAAAAAAAAAAACACATATGTATACCTTTTTCGCATACTTGTACCTTGGATCTCTTATAATACCTCGAAAAACTGAGCTGCACATGCACAATATGCAAAAAGTACTTGTAGAAACTGACATATACTTTCAGCTTTTGTTCGATATTGGAGATTTTTTGCAGTATGCTGACATATTCAAAAGGCCTGTCACCAAGAACAATAACTGTACAGCATACTAATGCAGTTTTGTCACCTGCCGCTTGAAATGCTCAAACTATTTAAAGTCCTATTTGGCTGTAATTTTTATGTTGTGCACTGTACACACACCCTAATGTACATGTAAAAACCGAAATATACTTTTGTCTTTTGGTAGAACTCAATATTGGAGATGTTTTGAAGACTGTTCCTGCTGCTCTTTTCCATACAGTGAACATATAGTTACCAGTTGATTTCAAGTCCCAAAAGGAACCATAAGTGTACCATAAACCTTAGTCCATACATATTTGAGAATTTTTCCATCATTTCTCCCTGCCTTTGCATAGTCAAACTTGGCACATCAAGACAAATTTAATTTTGGGTCAACTACTAATTGGCATAAACACATTGCAATTGTATTGGCATAAACACAAGTATCTGCCAATAACAAATGTAAATGTAATCAAGAGTGAGGGAAAATTTAATATACTGTTTTTTTTCCTAAGATGTAATTCTATAAAGCATAACAACCTCCACATTTTTAGACTAGACTATATTTAGAGTATCAACATGAAAGCGGGGTAAATATAGTTGTATTCTGCATTTAACTTGTGAAGAACTGTAATATATTGTCCTTTTTTGATTGTTTGGCTATGTAAATGTTGTCAGGACCATTTCAGTGGTGCTCAAATAGGCTTACAAAGGAAGCTCATCCCATCAAAGGTAGAAGCTGCCTGTTTTTCCGCAGCATTCCATCTGCCTCCCACCTCATTCTCCAGAAGTTTTTTTTCCTTGAGATGAGATGAAATGAGTCAAGTGGCCCACAGCAATCAGTGCTCAATCACTGCACGGGGCTTTGAAGTGCTACCCGCTCCCTCTGCCGCTCCACAGGTGGGGAAGCAAAGTTAAGTGGTCTGTCCAGAGGCAGAGAAGAGGTCACCCAGAGGGCGAAAGGGATTGTGGTCCAGAGAGAGAGAGGGAGAGTAGGGAATGAAGGGATTGAAAAGACAGCAGGAGGAGGGAGAACATCAGAAAGGGTCGTGCAGGTCAGAGAGTGCTTTTCTAGATGGGTCGGGTCGTTCTGTGATGACTTTAATTTCCTGAGATCTGTCTCGTTCACGTTCTCTGACTCTAATTTCGCTGTTAACGTTCATACTGATAGGCAGGCCATGCATATGGATGCTCAGGTACACCAGACAAATCAGAAAAAAGCTTGCTAGTGTAATTTCATGGCCACAAGCCACATAGAAACTATAATTATAAACTGGTAATAAAATATGTGTTTGCGTGTGTATATTATAAATATATACTTCAAATTAAAATTCGGTGCAATGCACAAGTATTAGAATTTAAAGTCAACATAAAAAGTGACCCCATTTCCTACACATTGCTAGACTAGTCTTATTGTGTAAAAATAAATAAATACATAAATAAGTAAATAAATAAAATAATAATTGCCTGTCTGCTATATATAAGGACAAAAAAAACTTGCCAAAATATAATATAATTATATAATAATATTAATATTAATTATTTAATTATAAAATTAAATATAGAATAATATAATCAAAATTTACACTGTTTACTTTTTACATTCATACTCTAATTGTGCACATTTACCACATAAAATGTGTATTTGTCTTTTCTTCACACTTTTTCATTAAAATGTAAAAATATGCAATTGATTCATTCTGAACAGAATAATTTCTGATTTCATGATGCATTTCTTTCAGGGTTTAAAATGAACTTTTTTTACCACACCTGCAAATGGCAAAAATTTGAAAAAATAAAATAAAATAAAAATGTACTTAACCAGCCAGCTGTATTTTGCATTATGTTTATTACATATAGTTTGTAATGTTTTTATATTAAGATATAAACAATCTAATAAATAACTGAAAAATCCTTAAAAACTGCTATTTACTCATCATAACACTTGTTTTAGACTCATTTGGCATTTGCTTAGTGTTAATATTGGACCTTGATTTTATAGTTCTTAATTG